CCCTCCCTCACTCCACAGTCCCTCTCTCTCTTTATCTGCAGATTGTGCTCGGAGTCTGACCAATTTGTTTGGGGGCTTTTAAACATGACAACAAAAGGCTGCTGTTATAGCCTGGCCTCTAAGCTGCTGGGAGAATGTGTTTTATCTGTCTGCCTGTTATGACCGAAAGCCAGACAGAGGCAGGAATAAAATAACAAGGTGTGTCCCAAATGACACCCTATTCCCTTTATAGTGCACTACTTTTGACCAGGCCCATAGGGTTATTAATGCAGCATGAAGTGAGGTTTAGTCATGATTGATTTAGGAATGTTTTGTGTTTGCGGTAGAAAGAAGGAGCTAACTTCTTCATTTCGGCCAGGGAAGGGAAGTACAAAGATGTAAATGTTCCATATGCTGACGATGGATTTAGAATGTTTGAATTTGCAGTACATTCAGCACATTGACTAACAGAAGGCGCTAACTTCTCTTCATTTGTGGAGGAATATAAGCGTTCCATAATAGTGCCGATGGATTTAGTTTGAGTTCTCTTAGTTGAACAGGGTGGACATAAAGTACTGTATAAGGATTCAGCTCAAATGGCACCCTATTCCCTATATAGTGCACTACTTTTGACCAGGGCCCATTGGGACGTAGACTAACTCCAACATCTCACTTCTGCCCCCGCCACGCTTCATGAACTTGACTGCGGGCAGCACACTCCTCCCTCTGTAAGTGAGTCGGCATGACTTGAAAGGGGCAGGTTTCACCTTGTAAAGAACAGAAAGAAAGAGTCAACCATCTTAATATTAAGCTAATTGCTGCCTGTTGGCGATGGTTAGTCAGCCATTTTCAATCTATTAATATCTGAGAGCGAGGGAGAGCTGCTCAGCTCACTGGTGGTCTGGCTGTGAAGCAGATAGAAAAACACTCCTCAGTTTCACTCCACTGTAGATCAAATGAACCATAATAACTTGTTTCCTCCATCTCTCTCTCCCTCCATCTCTCCCTCCCTCCTTCGCCCCTCAGTTGGATTGTGGATGTGGTTTATGGAGTTAAGAGTGTTGGAGAAACCAGTCCAAGCCAGAGCGGCCGCAGCAGTGTAGCACTGTGCCATGCTCTATTCTGCTCTGGTCTGCTCTACTCTGGTCTGGTCTGGTCTGCTCTACTCTGGTCTGGTCTGCTCTACTCTGGTCTGGTCTGCTCTACTCTGGTCTGGTCTGGTCTGCTCTACTCTGCTCTGGTCTGGTCTGCTCTACTCTGGTCTGGTCTGCTCTACTCTGGTCTGGTCTGCTCTACTCTGGTCTGGGGCTCTATGGCACAGTGCTACACTCTATGGGTGCATCTCAAATGGCACCCTATTACCTATATAGTGTACCTTTATTTAACCAGGAAAATACCCTTAAGGTTAGAAACCACTTTTGCCAGGGGGACCTTGCAAGAGGTTGGCAGGAAGTAGTCAGCGGGTACATACAATACGAGCACAATACAATAGCTACATTAAAAACAATCACAATGGTCAACAACATTATCTTCTATCAGAGCTTTAAACTCAGCAAGCGATACCCTCTCCTCCCCTTTTAAAGTAATTTCCCAAAATTATATTTTTCCCATTTCATTCCCAGGGCTCTGGTCAAAAGTATTGCACTACGTTGGGAATAGGGTGCAATTTGGGACACAGCCCATGTCCCTTTCTGGTACCCAACAGAAATAAAGCTACTGACCTGACCACATAATACTGTGAGGAATCGGCAGTGGTGGTGGTGAGAGCCAAGGCTAAGCCAGGGTATGTTCCTCCTCCCTCCACCTTGCCCGTCGGCTTGATGGAATCTGCACTGGTCTTCCCAGTGGCCAGTGGTCAGGGAGGGCATTGACAGCGTTTCAGAGGGTAGTGTGTACAGCCCAGTACATCACTGGGGCCAAGCTTCCTGCCATCCAGGACCTCTATACCAGGCGGTGTCAGAGGAAGGCCCTAAAAATTGTCAGACTGCAGCCACCCTAGTCATAGACTGTTCTCTCTGCTACCGCATGGCAAGCGGCACCGGAGTGCCAAGTCTAGGTCCAAAAGGCTTCTTAACAGCTTCTACCCCCAAGCCATAAGACTCCTGAACAGCTAATCAAATGGCTACCCGGACTATTTGCACCCCCCCCCCCCCCCCCCTCTTTTACGCTGCTGCTAATCTCTGTTTATTATCTATGCATAGTCACTTTAACTCTACCTACATGTACATATTACCTCTGCACATTCACTCTGTACCGGTACCCCCTGTATATAGCCTCGCTAATGTTATTTTACTGCTGCTCTTTAATAATTTTTATTTTTTACTTATCTATTTTTTACCTAACACTTATTTTTCTTAAAACTGCATTGTTGGTTAAGGGCTTGTAAGTAAGCATTTCATTGTTTCACTTTTGTATTCGGCGCATGTGACAAATAACATTTTAATTTGATTTGGAGACACTTTCAGCCAATCCCTCAATCCCTTTTTTCCTTCATCCCACTATCCCTTCATCCCTCAATCCAGCTTTAGTGTGATTCATAGCCCATTCGCAATGCTAGGCCCTGTGCCACTCACTACAACATGAACAGCAACAGGCTCAGTGAAAGAGTTCATTAAAAAAAGGGCCCACTTGACTTTATGATGGAATTGAACAGGTTAAGCTTCAGAAGATTTCACTTTTTGCCTGTAAAACATTAACAACTTATTGACCGCATGGTGACCCATTGGGTGAGTGTTAGCCTCCCACCCCCCTCCACCCCTTATCCTGGTTATCTTGATGTGAGGGAGAGAGGGAAGGAGAGAGAGAGAGGTAGAGACAGCGAGAGAAAGAAATGTAGGGAGGAATGTAGGCAGGCTAGCCTCAGGACCCAGTGAGCTCTGGCCGGTCTGGTCTGAGTGTGCAGCTTTGATGTCAGTCTGTCATGCCGGGGCTCACTTTAGTTTTTACTGCGCCCCTGTGTGTTTTCCACCACTATCATAAACACCTCGAAAAGCCCAGCATGGACGCAGCCGAACGAGACCGCCATACACATGGACACACGGGCACACAGTACACACATACAGTACACTGACAAACCCGCACACAGTCATTAACTGACACACCACACACATACTGTATACACACTTAGTCACACACAAATACAGTACACAGAGAAACGCGCACATACACACACTGCCTGGCAGTCTCTCATCACCAGCCCCACCGCCAGCCCTGAAGACAAAGACTCCGTATGATGCATGTTGTGCTCATTTGCTCAGAAGTGTATGCGTCTCCTACACCAGAGCTGACCGGACCCGATTCCCCAGTGTCCTCTTAACTTTTTCTAACTCCACATGGTTAGAATTTGACATTTCCCCGTTTTCAAAGGTTCTGGAGCCAAGTGTTGTTAATTAGAGAGGGGACTAGTTTTGTTGCGGCCCTTTGTGCTGCCAAGTGGGAGACCTCATCACTGGCTGCCCTCCCTCCGTCTCCCTCCTCTCTCCTCATCTGCTTTTGTCCAGAAAGAAAAGTCCCAGCCACTTTGGAAATGAAACATCCTTGCACTATTAATGGGATTGAGCAGATGTTTTCTGTTTATACGTTTTGAGACGTGACAAAGGCTGCAGCAAAACATGACAAGGAGAAGTTTTGGGGCACAGGCCTTCTTTCCAACGAAGAGAGAGGGAGAGCGAAAGGGAGAGAGATGATATTTATGTAAATTATTTTATCACCGGCTTGCTCATTCACTCGCAGTCTGGCAGCGGCCCTTCACGCAGACTCACGTCTCACATGTGGCAAATTAGAGGTTCTCTCGCCGACCAGTCGGTTTGGGTGTTTGTGTGTGTGCCAGGAAAGCCAGCCCGTTTTCATACAAATCGTTGTAAATAACACTGATGCCTCAGAGAATGAAGAGGTTGAGGTGTTATAAATAGGACGTGTCAAACAGAGCTCCAACAGCGTCAGGTTTCCAGCTGCAGCGGGCGGCTCTCACACCGCCGACCAGGAACGCTGCTTTTTAATTTGGGCTTCCCGCGGCCTAACCGTCTGACGCCTCTCGGCGAGGGCCTGGATTTCAACAAGGCCACAAAAGCCCCAACCCTGGGCGCTTCCACTCCGGCCGGGTGCCTTTTTGGAGTACAGAGTGTACCATCAGCAAGAAGTCATGTCCTGGCCAGCCTCGCCAAGCCTCATCTGTCAAAGCCCGTGGCGAGCCAGGGAGGGAAGGAGGGAGGGAGACGTGCTGGGCGGCTTGGGCCATGGAGGGAGAAGAAGAAAGAAAGGAGGGAGAAGAGGGTGGCTGGGAGAGGGAGAGAGGAAGCTCCCAGATAAACAGAGCGCAGCGCCTTAACTCCTAATCACCCTGCGCTTCCGTTTCCAGACTCTATAATTAGAAGGGCCCTTCTTTTCCATGTATTCCCAGTTGACGCAAATGGTTCTTGTGGCTTGGCACCTCATTTGGGGCGTGGGTTTAGTTTATGGCCAGGGCCCTGAGCTTCCAGCTTTGGTTTGGTCTTCACTTCTGATACAGCATGAATAGCTAAACCGCCGTCTAATGCCTGGCCTGCTCTGTTTCTCTTCTCTTCTTTTAAAAAAAATGTTCCTTCCAATATCCCCCTCTTTGACTCCTTCTTTTCGGCTCCCTCCATCACACTTACTCTACGTCCCTTCTTCTCCTCGCCTCTTTACCTCACCCTATTACATGGCTACTGTTGGATAAAGGTGGAAACTGGGTGCATCCTAAATGGCACCCTATTTCCTGGGCCCTAGTCAGTTGGGCACTATAAAGGAAATAGGATGCCATTTGGGAAGCAATCTGTGAGGTCTAAAAGCAGTGTGTGTGAGCTCATCTAGCCTACATACCTTTTTCTTCTTCATCCCTCTTGCATGTGTCGCTGGATTATTTTAATCTCGTGCCATTCCATCCTCCTCTTTTACATTTGACATGCCACCCAATAAAGATTGCCCGCTAATTACAAACTTATTGCAACCACCACAGAAAAGATCCAGCGAAGGAAAATCACTAATTATTCTCCTGTCAAATTATGGCTGTGAGGCTTCGGGTTCGGAGGCTTCGAAGTAAAAAATTCGGCACCATTTCTCGGATCACACACTTTTCAGTTTGAGCTAAAGGGCTAACGTTTTGAGTTATTGCACTTTTTATGTTTTTGGTAGAAATATAAAGATTCTGTCCTGGGCTGCCTGTGATCTGGGTTTAGATCTGGTTTGTTCTGGTGTGGTTTGTTGAGTGTGTTGTTTACAGTAAAGGCCTATACTTTCTGCAGTTTAACAAACTTCAAATAAAACTGCTAGAAATGAATGGGCCTGTCATCGGAGGTTACATACGAGCTGGGCTGTGGTCGTGTGTTATGACGGACATACACACACACACACACACACTCCTCCCAGTCCCTAGAAAGAATACATAGTTATAAGGCTATGGTTGCGACTGGAGAACAAATTATGATGTGGGGGATAAGGAAGCGTTTTACGACAGTGACAAACGATAGCTGGTCTGTTTTAATAGGGTGGTTTGTTTGTGTACCGGCATGGTGGGGCTGATAGGTCCAACTTTGAAGGGGTTGTCGGGTTCTGCACGGTTCAAAGGTTTTATTAACAGCTAAATACGTCTGCCCAGTTTTTGACTGAAATTTCTCTATTGCTCTACAGTGAATGAAATAGTCGTTTTTTGGTACTGGTTTGTATGCACACTAATGTGCACTAATAAATATCAAATACTGACATTTGTAATTTCTACAGTACATTTAATCTCTTTATTGGCCAGTACACTACTGGTCTGGATAATATTCTGAAATATTTCATACGGGGTTTAGAGTTTATATTTATTACTGTTGGAAATAAAACAGTTTTGCGCAATATACTAAATCCTCCTGAATAACTCTTGGATATGAAGAATAGGGCTCTACCAATGGTTATGTATTACAGTGTGTGTGTGTGTGTTAATGTCCATGTTGTCTCTCTGTCTCCAGGTATGCTGCTGGTGACTGCAGACACCCTGGGCCATGACTTCCATGTGTTCCAGGTCCTTACACACCCCTGGGCCTCCAACCAGTCTGCTGTCCACCACCTCTACACACTGCACCGCGGCGAGACTGAGGCCAAGGTAATACACACACCTACAGTGGCTTGCGAAAGTATTCACCCCCTTGGCATTTTTCCTATTTTGTTGCCTTACAACCTGGAATTAAAATAGATTTTTTGGGGGTTTGTATCATTTGATTTACACAACATGCCTACCACTTTGAAGATGCAACATATTTTTTATTGTGATACAAACAAGAAATAAGACCAAAAAAAACAGAGAACTTGAGCATGCATAAGTATTCTTGGGGTCAGTGGGGAAAAAAAGTATTTAGTCAGCCACCAATTGTGCAAGTTCTCCCACTTAAAAAGATGAGAGGCCTGTAATTTTCATCATAGGTACACGTCAACTATGACAGACAAATTGAGAAAAAAAATTCCAGAAAATCACATTGTAGGATTTTTAATGAATTTATTTGCAAATTATGGTGGAAAATAAGTATTTGGTCACCTACAAACAAGCAAGATTTCTGGCTCTCACAGACCTGTAACTTCTTCTTTAAGAGGCTCCTCTGTCCTCCACTCGTTACCTGTATTAATGGCACCTGTTTGAACTTGTTATCAGTATAAAAGACACCTGTCCACAACCTCAAACAGTCACACTCCAAACTCCACTATGGCCAAGACCAAAGAGCTGTCAAAGGACACCAGAAACAAAATTGTAGACCTGCACCAGGCTGGGAAGACTGAATCTGCAATAGGTAAGCAGCTTGGTTTGAAGAAATCAACTGTGGGAGCAATTATTAGGAAATGGAAGACATACAAGACCACTGATAATCTCCCTCGATCTGGGGCTCCACGCAAGATCTCACCCCGTGGGGTCAAAATGATCACAAGAACGGTGAGCAAAAATCCCAGAAGCACACGGGGGGACCTAGTGAATGACCTGCAGAGAGCTGGGACCAAAGTAACAAAGCTTACCATCAGTAACACACTACGCCGCCAGGGTCTCAAATCCTGCAGTGCCAGACGTGTCCCCCTGCTTAAGCCAGTACATGTCCAGGCCCGTCTGAAGTTTGCTAGAGTGCATTTGGATGATCCAGAAGAGGATTGGGAGAATGTCATATGGTCAGATGAAACCAAAATAGAACTTTTTGGTAAAAACTCAACTCGTCGTGTTTGGAGGACAAAGAATGCTGAGTTGCATCCAAAGAACACCATACCTACTGTGAAGCATGGGGGTGGAAACATCATGCTTTGGGGCTGTTTTTCTGCAAAGGGACCAGGACGACTGATCCGTGTAAAGGAAAGAATGAATGGGGCCATGTATCGTGAGATTTTGAGTGAAAACCTCCTTCCATCAGCAAGGGCATTGAAGATGAAACGTGGCTGGGTCTTTCAGCATGACAATGATCCCAAACACACCGCCCGGGCAACGAAGGAGTGGCTTCGTAAGAAGCATTTCAAGGTCCTGGAGTGGCCTAGCCAGTCTCCAGATCTCAACCCCATAGAAAATCTTTGGAGGGAGTTGAAAGTCTGTGTTGCCCAGCGACAGCCCCAAAACATCACTGCTCTAGAGGAGATCTGCATGAAGGAATGGGCCAAAATACCAGCAACAGTGTGTGAAAACCTTGTGAAGACTTACAGAAAGCGTTTGACCTGTGTCATTGCCAACAAAGGGTATATAACAAAGTATTGAGAAACTTTTGTTATTGACCAAATACTTATTTTCCACCATAATTTGCAAATAAATTCATTAAAAATCCTACAATGTGATTTTCTGGATTTTACTCTTCTCATTTTGTCTGTCATAGTTGACGTGTACCTATGATGAAAATTACAGGCCTCTCATCTTTTTAAGTGGGAGAACTTGCACAATTGGTGGCTGACTAAATACTTTTTTCCCCCACTGTATGTCTTTATAAACTTTGCCCATTCTTCAAGGCAAAACTGCTCCAGCTCCTTCAAGTTGGATGGGTTCCGCTGGTGTACAGCAATCTTTAAGTCATGCCACAGATTCTCAATTGGATTGAGGTCTGGGTTTTGACTAGGCCATTCCAAGACATTTAAATGTTTCCCCTTAAACTACTCGAGTGTTGCTTTAGCAGTATGCTTAGGGTCATTGTCCTGCTGGAAGGTGAACCTCCCTCCCAGTCTCAAATCTCTGGAAGACTGAAACAGGTTTCCCTCAAGAATTTCCCTGTATTTAGGATCATCCATCATTCCTTCATTTCTGACCAGTTTCCCAGTCCCTGCCAATGAAAAACAACCCCACAGCATGATGCTGCCACCATGCTTCACTGTGGGGATGGTGTTCTCGGGGTGATGAGAGGTGTTGGGTTTGCGCCAGACATAACGTTTTCCTTGATGGCCAGAAAGCTCAATTTTAGTCTCATCTGACCAGAGTACCTTCTTCCATATGTTTGGGGAGTCTCCCACATGGCTTTTGGCGAACACCAAACATGTTTGCTTATTTTTTTCTTTAACCAATGGCTTTTTTCTGGCCACTCTTCCATAAAGCCCAGCTCTGTGGAGTGTATGGCTTAAAGTGGTCCTATAGACAGATACTCCAATCTCCGCTGTGGAGCTTTGCAACTCCTTCAGGGTTATCTTTGGTCTCTTTGTTGCTTCTCTGATTAATGCTCTCCTTGCCTGGTCCGTGAGTTTTGGTGGGCGGCTCTCTCTTGGCAGGTTTGTTGTGGTGCCATATTCTTTCAAATTTTTAAATAATGGATTTAATGGTGCTCCGTGGGATGTTCAAAGTTTCAGATATTTTTTTATAACCCAACCCTGATCTGTACTTCTCCACAACATTGTCCCTGACCTCTTTGCAGAGCTCCTTGGTCTTCATGGTGCCGCTTGCTTCGTGGTGCCCCTTGCTTAGATGCATCGCAGACTCTGGGGCCTTTCAGAACAGGTGTATATATACTCAGAATTTGTGACAGATCATGTGAAAGTTAGATTTCACACAGGTGGACTTTATTTAACTAATTATGTGACTTCTGAAGGTAATTGGTTGCACCAGATCTTATTTAGGGGCTTCATAGCAAAGGGGGTGAATGCATATGCACGCACCACTTTTCCGTTATTTATTTTTTAGAATATTTAGAAATTCATTTCACTTCACCAATTTGGACTATTTTGTGTATGTCTATTACATGAAATCCAAATAAAAATCAATTTAAATTACAGGTTGTAATGCAACAAAATAGGAAAAACTCCAAGGGGGATGAATACTTTTGCAAGGCACTCCTGAGTGGCGCAGCGGTCTAAGGCACTGCATCTCAGTGCTTGAGGCGTCACTACAGACCCCCTGGTTCGATTCCAGGCTGTATCACAACTGGCCGTGATTGGGTGTCCCATAGGGCAGCGCACAATTGGCCCAGCGTTGTCCAGGTTTGGCTGGTGTAGGCCATCATTGTAAATAAGAATTTGTTCTTAACTGACTTGCCTAGTTAAATAAAGGTTAAATAAAAATAAAATATACACACCTAATATTCATCATACACTCACTGACACTTCTGAAATCATTTGATATAGGCCTACTTATCGCCTGTAAATAATCCACATTTTAGTAATTCAGCACTGAGGTGGTTTCTGAACAGGGCCACCCATAGCTGTTTACTGAGTGCGCTCTGGCCGTAGCATTTAAACCAAGCCTTTGATCTGCTGGAGTGTATGTTTGCCTGTGTTGTGTCTAAACACTGTCAGATAGACAACACTGGGCTTCATCTGACTGTACAGTGAAAGGAAGAGTAGTTGGATGGCTCTGATCAGACACAGTTCTGTAGCATGGCCTCACAGGTTCAAGTAGTACATGGGGAAAACGTGTGCTTGTGTGTGACCACTAAAGCTTAAATGTAATTTCCTCATTACATTGTTAGGAAGGGTAAAACACTATTCGGCTGGATGATGTGAGTTGAGTGTTTGTGTGTGTGCGTGTGAGGGGATAATAACCCAAACAGGGTGGGGTGTGACCCAGGGAGCTCTGTAATTGATGTGAAGGATGATTTAGAAATAAGCAAGGCCTCATTGCCTCTCACTTGACTGCAGTACCAGATTCCTCACAGCTGTGGAATCACAGCCTTCCAGCCAATCAATTCATCGCCGTCCAAAGCAAACACATTTTCAAAAGCTGAGACAATTTGTAAGACAAATAGGGCATGGCGAGTTTCAAACAACATTCACTATGGCTCATTCAATAAAAAAGGCTGCTGCATGTTTTCTTCTTGTCCCTAGCTAACAGCGCTCTCTCGCAATCTCACTCCCTCTCTGTCTCTCTCTCGGTCTCTCCCTCGCTGTCTCCCTTGCTGTCTCCCTTGCCGTCTCCCTCGCGGTCTCCCTTGCTGTCTCCCTCACTGTCTCCCTCGCTGTCTCCCTCGCTGTCTCCCTCGCTGTCTCCCTCGCTGTCTCCCTCGCTGTCTCCCTCGCTGTCTCCCTCGCTGTCTCCATCTCTGTCTCTCTCTAGTGAAAATCTAATATTGTGAGTTGTTAGGAGGAGGGACGACCCCCTTTCCTCCCCTCTTCCCCGGCTAATCACATTGTGAGGCTGTGCAGAGCCTCCTTTGAGGAATGACCACCATTAAAGCACTCCCTCTGAAGTTGTGGCTCACGCTGCTGCTGCCGCTTTATGTCAGATGAGGCCTTGCTTATGGAGCACACACACTCAGTCACTCGCACGCATGCATGTACACACACACACACACACACACACACAGCCTCAGTGGCTTGTAAGGAGATTTATCGGACCCAAGTCAAGGGACGCAGCATCCTGTATTCTCCCTCTACAGCATGCAGGCCTGTTATATAGAATCACAGTTTATGCAGCACTTCTGTCAATCCAAGTTGTAGGTTTAGTCCCCCGAGGTAAAAGTTACCCTAGTGTGTTCTCTCCTATCGGGCCAACACAGGTGCTCAGTGGAGTTTGGAGGCTAAACTATTTAATATGTACGTCTATTGGTTTGTAGGATACTTGTATTTCTGTTGGTATTTTTGACCCATTTAGTCTGTTTATATGGATATTTCTTCTCTTATTAATGAACTCTCAATTGTTTAGCTTAGCAGCCGTTCCGGGACAAAAATTGTATTTTTAGTTGGCAACTTGCGATGTTCTATTTGCTTTGGCAGAACTAATATTTATCTGTGGAGCGCTTGAACCCTAGCTGCCGGTCCCACTAGTGTCATGTTTGGACCAGAGCACTGATCTAGGCTTTGCTTCGACCTTGTGCACACACACACACACACACACTTACACATCCACGCAAACTCCTCCACGGACACACACACACACACACATGATTGTAATGGGCTGGTTAATGTGTGACTTATAACGGCAGGTCCTGCTGCCTGGCGGTGTGTTACTAGCTTTGATCCTGCTGTTGTAAACACTGTAGAGACTACAGCAGAGAGAGAGAGAGCAGGCTGTAGGGCACAGAGGTTATCTCCTACACAGCATACAAGGCCGGAAGTGCAAATGGTGCTGTAGCAAGGTGGGTGGACACAGCTCTTATCTGGCTGGACTGACTGGGCTGGGCTCGCTCCGACTCACCAAACACGCTCCAAACACACACACACACTCCCAACACTGACCCAGAGTCAGCCCAGGTAAACAGGCATGGCTCTGATAGCGATAGGAGGGTTTCTCAGTAATAGGGCCCTAGGTGGTTTGAAACCAGTTTAAACTGGAGTGCACTCAGTGACCAGGCAGGTCAGGGTGTTTTGTCTTGGTCGGTTTTCTTCTTGCTCTGGGTGTTTTTTGCACCCTTTTCTACCTCTTTTTTGGTATTTTTCCTTATACCTTTTCTTTTGACTTCTACTCTCTCTCTCTCTCTCTCTCTCTCAGGAATCCTGTCATTCCATTGTAGTTTCTGCTAAGTGACAGTATCTCTAATCTAACTTATCAGTGTTACTGATAGAGACCGAGACACTTTGAACACTTCTATGTCTGTCTGTGTGTGACATCGTCTCTACTGTGTCTCCTCTATACCACAACATGTCTGCTCATCTCACCCATACACACACTTCTGTTCTAAATGTTCTGGGTCAGATCTCAGTCTGATTAAGTGAGAGACTTCACCCAACTTCTGCTATTGTTGGATAGGTTGTATCCTACAAAATATGGGGAGAGGACAATGTTATCATGATCAAGAATGTACCCCTTCCCCATATTGGCTTTAATCACGGCTAGGCAGAGCTCAGGTGAAACTACCCCTCCCATCCTTATCTGTGTATAGAAACTGGTATGTGTCTGGTATGTGAAGGATGCCCCATTAACTGTAAATGCTGAGGACAATTACCCAGCCAACCTGTGCCATGGTCACAGATGAAACACACAGACACAGCTAGACAGATCTCACAGCGGAAGAGATAAACCCTCTCTTTTTCTGATGAATACTGTTGACTCTCTTTTACACTTTCTGTCTGTCCGTCTCTCTCTGTGTCTCTCTCTGTAGCATGTCTGACATGGTTGTGTAGATGCTATCTGTTGGAGTTTGCTCTGAGCTGACTGTGTGTGTGGCTCTAGAGGCCACAGACTGAGCGAAATACCTTCATTGTCTTCTGCAGACAGACTGTTGGGCTGTCTTTACCAAATACTTAAAAATACATTCCCACCAAACCCTCAACAACTCTCCAGATACCTCCTTTCAACTGGTCATCTTATATTCTCTATTCAGTGAGAACGTTAAGAACATTGGTTTGATTTTGCTGTAAGGTCAACTACTTATACATTGTGTTACTGTCAACGTATGACAAGCTGATCAGCTTTCTCTCTCTGTCTCTCCCTCTGTGTCCCCTTCCCCAGGTCCAGGACATCTGTTTCAGCCAGGACAGTCGCTGGGTGGTGATCAGCACGCTGCGTGGCACCTCCCACGTCTTTCCCATTAACCCCTACGGTGGCGCGCCCTGCGCCCGCACACACATGTCCCCCCGCGTGGTCAACCGCATGTCCCGCTTCCAGAAGAGTGCAGGGCTGGAGGAGATAGAGAATGAACTGAACAGCAAGCAGGCTGGAGGAGGGAGGTGCAGCCCCATCCCCGGGCTCTCCAGCAGCCCCTCGGGGTCCCCACTACACGGTAAGGATAGAGGACACACACTCGTGCACACACACACGCACACGCACCCTGCACAGAGCAACATCTCACTCATCCTCTTACTATTGTGCAGTACATAAAACCCCACAATACGCAACATGTGTTGTGACATGGCTATAGCTGATATGGTGGCTGTGGCAGCACACACAGGTCTTCAGACAGAGGCTCCTGTTCCAGTAAGTGACAACAACCGCTGACCCGCTGTCACCTGAGTAGACCTTGTTCTGCTGGGGTCTATGACCTGTCTGTTACAGCCTTGGTCCTGTTGGTCAAACGCCCCTAGAGCCGCCTGGCCTGGCTGGCACACACACTATACACACTATCACCACCGCGTGGGCACACACAACCACTCATACGCAAACAGACACCTGTTGACATATACTCATCAGCAAGTTCAGAGAGAAATCACAGTTCAGGGTCGAGGCTGTTTGCAGATCTTCTCAGTTTGCCCCCCCTCCCTCCCTCTCACTGTCAGGGCCTCAGTCATCCATCTCTCCCCTCTCTCCCACTCTCTGCAGCCGTGGCGCCCTGACTTCCCCTCTCCCTTCCTAGCCTGTTGTCAGCCCCAGACCCCCCCCACCCTCTGGTCCTCTAGTTCTCACCCACTACTCTGTTTGTGTGGCCTCTCTCCCCCAGGCTCTGTATTAATGACCACTGTCAGATCACTTCCCCAACAATTAAAACAATGTTAGAAGGACGTTCAAGCCAGGCCAGAGTGACGTCAAGCCCAGGGAATGTACTGCCACCGCAGCTTGTCTCGTGCTGGATCTAGAGAGAAAAAGTGGAGAGAAGGAGATGGAAAGGGAGGGAGGAGAAAGAGGAGGGACAGAGGAAGTGAAAGAGGGAAAAATAAAGAATGAAAGAGAAGGAGAAAAAAAATATGGAGGGAGCGAGAAAGAGTTCAGCTTTTGTAGCGGCAGTGAAAGGAGGGAGAGGGGAGCAAGAGACTCATAAATCACACTCAATTTTCAAAGGAGGGCATTAGAGCCACCTGTCAACAATTAGTCTCTTCACTGATACGTGTGTGTGTGTGTGCGTGCGTGTGAGCGAGCGAACAGGCCCCCAGGGATGGCAGACGGCTATATAAATGTTACAGCGTAAAGAAAGACTAAAATACTACTGTCTGAGGCAGTAGGTTTTAGGTTTTCAAGACTTTGATATTTACAACGTATCTGTTCCTTTTTATGGACCTTGGGAGGCTGTGATAAAGTTAGACAGGAATCTGGGGGCTGGGTTTTGGAGATGTCGTTCTCTGCGTGGTGTTGGAGATGGTGTGTGAGTTTGTGGGGGAGAGTCTCAACCCTCAAGTACGACACACAGTGGCGATTCTAACATGTATGGGGCAAACTCCCCCAATTTTTGTTGTTGTTGATGCATGCCAGAAAAGCCACTACACAACACTAAACAATACATTAATTGCACTATAACGGTGACAAACGGTGCCCACAAACTGTTACAGCCTACATAAAGCTGTCCCAACAGCAAAACTTTATTTTCATTGCCATGGAGTGAATCCTTACCACCGCTTAACCTGGCTATCAGCGGAGCCTTGTCTTGCAGCGAAACAGTTAATTCAGCCTCATTTACTTCCTTTTTAAAAAACATAGCTGATATGGCCGACTTGCTTAAACAAATGTGGTTTCTACTGACAATTGAGATGTACAAACTATGGCATAAGGGGACGACGAGCGGATAAGAGGCAGTCTGTAATTTCGATTAAGACATTAATGAGCGAGCTAGGACTGACGTAGTCAATATAACTATTTGTGCAGCACTTTTGAAATGTACAGCAACAGAATTCAGAACATGGGCCGTTCTTACAGTGTTCTCCCTGTACACCAAGTCAGAACCGTAGGATAAATAAAGGGGGCATATAAGCAGACAATGAAAGCTCTAACAATATTTGATGATTACACTTCTCTAAAACAGGCTATAGGCTATATGTGCACCACCAAGTCAAAACAGTAGGCTCATAAAGGGACCAAATTATTAGGGTGAGGCACATGGGCTACTAACAGCTTACTACACAACATACACGTAGTATTACTTTCTCAGCTACAGTGTACATATCTCCCTGGCATATTACATCATTTATGCAGCAGCATACAATACATTTTTGGACTCACCTTGTTGTGCTGTGCTCACTTGAACATTTTATATATAATTTATCTTCATATGACAAGGATTGAAAAGGATTTGCCAGTAGATTGTCGACTTGATTCATGATGATTAATGATGACTGCTTGTCTAGCTTGCTAGCTAAGATTTTGAAAGTATGATATTGACATGATCAGTCCAATCAAAGCCACGGTAGATATAACGTGATTTGACGTCACTTTATCTGAGGCCAATGACCTTGAGCCTTCTTGGATGGGCACTTCTAATGTAACTCTATGGAAGCACCCAAGGGGCTTGAATTTTCTAACTCTCCCCTTAGATTTTGTGGTGACGTAGTGTCCCCATGAGTGACAGAACACTGAGCCAATCACGGCGCAACTAGAGAACATTACCAACCCCTACGCTCCGTATTTTCCGCTGGCTGCCCCATCACCAAAGAAAACACTGAGCTAGGCTGAAACACCGGCATTATGCGGCTTTATTAACTTCAGTTAATGTTTTCATAGGCTAGACAGGCAACCCAATTCTGATAATTTTTTCACTAATTGGTCTTTTGACCAATCAGATCACGTCTGAAAAATATCTGATGTGAAAAGATCTGATGTGATTGGTCAAAAGACCAATTATTGGAAAAAATATCAGAATTGGACTGCCTGTGTACACACAGCTATAGAGGAGAAAAATTGTGTGTCCAGTAGGACGTTGTTCAACACGTCTTCTTTAGGTACATTGTTGACAGGTTTCTCACCCTGAGAACTGACTATTCTCTAGGAGTTAATGTAGCCCATGTGGACAGACGCTGGTTTGTGTTACAGAAGAACAACACCTCCAGTACAACAGTTGTGAATGGCTGTAAGGGATCGTTGTTTAACCTTAGTGGGTCTCTGTCTGTAGTGTAGTAAAGCAGGGCTGAGATTTTCCAACATGTATCCATTGCAACGTTTTGATCTGACCAGACCCGACTCCATGAACAAGTGAAGTGCTTTTTTCGACTTCAAATACTTGTTCTATTGTCTGCATCCATCATTCGTACTGTAGACTCTAGACTCAGTGGTCACCAACCGGTTGATTGCGATCGATTGGTGGTACTCCAAGGCATTCCTAGTTGATCACCAAACATTTATGTAAAAAAGAACGATTAAGCCTTGCTTTCCTATTTTTTAAATTAGTTTCTTCTGTGATGTAATGGCGGTCCACAAACAAACGTTTAAGGTGCATGCCGCCACCTACTGTACTGGAGTGTGTGGTCGATCACGGTTTACAACATTATTCGTTTCGCACTGTTGGCGGTAGGTGAACTTGATTCAGCAGCCCTAGCGCTGTGAAGGCAAAGTGTTCCCATTTTGAACCATTTCATGTGTCTGAAGGTAGAACTCAGCCTACCCGACAGACCTATAGGCCTACCGCTGGCCAATCACATAGCTCAGTTCACCGCGTCTGCACAGTGTCCTTGAGCCATAGACTGTAAAAATAAATATTGAACGCTCAGCAAAGTTGATACGGTGAGATTTCAGACATTTTAAAATCATGACTGGAGAGATACTCAACGAATAGAGCAAAGAGCTGCTCTTTTAATGAGTAAGTTAATGTCTAAGTTGTTATTCAGCACTGTCAACACTTCGTTCAACACTTTTATGAGCATTAAAATGAGTTTTCTCCCTACTTTCACTCACGCTACAAACAGCATTGCAGCTGCAATGAATGAGTACAGTGCATTTGGAAAGTATTCAGACCCCTTCCCTTTTTCCACATTTTGTTACGTAACAGCCGTGTTCTAAAATGGATTTTTAATGTTTTTATCCTCATCAATCTACACACAATACCCCATAATGACAGTGAAAACAGGTTTTTAGAAATTTTAGCAAATTTATTAAAAATAAAAAACAGAAATACATAATTTACATAAGTATTCAGACCCTTTGCTATGACACATTGAGCTCAGGTGCATCCTGTTTCCATTGATCATCCTTGAGATGTTTTTACAACTTGATTGGAGTCCACCTGTGGTAAATTCAATTGGTTGGACATTATTTGGAAAGGCACACACCTGTCTATATAAGGTCCCACAGTTGACAGTGCATGTAAGAGCAAAAACCAAGCCATGAGGTCGAAGGAATTGTCCGTAGAGCTCCGAGACAGGATTGTGTTGAGGCACAGATCTGGGGAAGGGTACCAAAAAATTTCTGCCTCATTGAAAGTCCCCAAGAACACAGTGGCCTCCATCATTCTTAAATGGAAGAAGTTTGGAACCACCAAGACTCTTCCTAGAGCTGATCGCCCGGCCAAACTGAGCAATCAGGGGAGAAGGGCCTTGGTCAGGGAGATGACCAAGAACCCGATGGTCACTCTGACAGAGCTTTAGAGTTCCTCTGTGAAGATGGGAGAACCTTCCAGAAGGACAACCATCTCTGCAGCACTCCACCAAAATCAGGCCTTTATGGTAGAGTGGTCAGTCCTCAGTAAAAGGCACATGATAGCCCGCTTGGAGTTTGCCAAAAGGCACCTAAAGGACTCTCTGACCATGTGAAACAAGATTCTCTGGTCTGATGAAACCAAGATTGAACTCTTTGGCCTGAATGCCAAGCGTCACATCTGGAGGAAACCTGGCACCATCCCTACGGTGAAGCATGGTGGTGGCAGCATCATGCTGTCGGGATGATTTACAGCGGCAGGGACTGGGAGACTAGTCTGGATCGACGGAAAGCTAAATGGAGCAAAGTACAAAGAAAATCCTTGATGAAAACCTGCTCCAGAGCGCTCAGGACCTCAGACTGGGGCAAAGGTTCACCTTCCAACAGGACAACGACCCTAAGCACACAGCCAGGACAATGCAGGAGTGGCTTCGGGAAAAGTCTCTGAATGTCCTTGAGTGGCCCAGCCAGAGCCCGGACTTGAACCTGATCTAACAACCCTGGAGAATTGGTGCACGAGGCAGAAATAATGCAGTGCGACATGAGTTTTT